GGAGGGTTTTGGGGTGCAATGCTCGTTTTTGTCTCCCCCAGCAGCCGCTGACCTCCCCTGGGAGCGTCTGCTCCTCGCGCGGCTCCAGCGTGCCCGGCTCCCCCTCCAGCATCGTGGTGAGACCCCCAAACCCGCGGGGGGACCCCGAAACCCGCGGGGGGACCCCGAAACCCGCGGGGGGACCCCGAAACCTGCCCTGGGACCCCAAAACCTGCCCTGGGACCCCGAAACCTGCCCTGGGACCCCAAAACCTGCCCTGGGACCCCAAAACCCGCGGGGGGACCCCGAAACCTGCCCTGGGACCCCCAAACCTGCCCTGGGACCCCAAAACCTGCCCTGGGACCCCAAAACCCGCGGGGGGACCCCGAAACCTGCCCTGGGACCCCGAAACCTGCCCTGGGACCCCCAAACCTGCCCTGGGACCCCGAAATCCGCGGGGGGACCCCGAAACCTGCCCTGGAACCCCCAAACCCGCGCTGGGACCCCGAAACCTGCCCTGGGACCCCGAAACCCGCGCTGGGACCCCAAAACCCGCGCTGGGACCCCAAAACACGTGGGGGGACCTTAAAACCCGCTCCGGGACCCCAAAAACCGCGCTGGGACCCCAAAACCTGCCCTGGGACCCCAAAACCCTCGGGAGGACCCCAAAACCTGCCCTGGGACCCCAAAACCTGCCCTGGGACCCCAAAACCCGCGGTGAGACCCCAAAACCCGCGGGGGGACCCCAAAACTGACCAGGATGGAGGGGAACCCTCCCCATCCCCAAAAATCCCCTTCTGCACCCCAAAATTAAGGGGATTTTTTTCCTCCTCCCGAGCCAAAATGGTCCTGGGCTACCAGGACCTCGTAAAAATTCCATTTTTCACCCCAAATTAACGTTTCTTTCCTTCTTCCCATGCCAATATTGTCCTGGGCTAAAAGGACCTTGTAAAAATTCCATTTTTCACCCCAAATTAAGGGTTTTTTCCACCCTCCCAGGCCAATATTGTCCTGGGCTACAAGGATCTTGTAAAAATTCAATTTTTCACCCAAATTAAGGAGTTTTTCATCCTCCCAGGCCAAAATGGACAACGAGGTGCTGGGCTACAAGGATCTTGTAAAAATTCAATTTTTCACCCAAATTAAGGGTTTTTTCCACCCTCCCAGGCCAAAATGGACAACGAGGTGCTGGGCTAAAAGGACCTTGTAAAAATTCCATTTTTCACCCCAAATTGAGGAGTTTTTCCATCCTCCCAGGCCAAAATGGACAACGAGGTTCTGGGCTACAAGGACCTTGTAAAAATTCCATTTTTCACCCCAAATTAAGGGTTTTTTCCACCTTCCCAGGCCAAAATGGACAACGAGGTGCTGGGCTAAAAGGACCTTGTAAAAATTCCATTTTTCACCCCAAATTGAGGAGTTTTTCCACCCTCCCAGGCCAAAATGGACAACGAGGTGCTGGGCTAAGAGGACCTTGTAAAAATTCCATTTTTCACCCCAAATTAAGGGTTTTTTCCACCCTCCCAGGCCAAAATGGACAACGAGGTGCTGGGCTACAAGGACCTTGTAAAAATTTGATTTTTCACCCCAAATTAAGGGTTTTTTCCACCCTCCCAGGCCAAAATGAACAACGAGGTGCTGGGCTACCAGGACCTTGTAAAAAATCCATTTTTCACCCAAATTAAGACGCTTTTCCACGCTCCCAGGCCAAAATGGACAACGAGGTGCTGGGCTACAAGGACCTTGTAAAAATTCCATTTTTCACCCAAATTAAGACGTTTTTCCACCGTTCCAGGCCAAAATGGACAACGAGGTGCTGGGCTACCAGGACCTTGTAAAAATTCCATTTTTCACCCCAAATTAAGATGTTTTTCCACCGTTCCAGGCCAAAATGGACAACGAGGTGCTGGGCTACAAGGACCTGGCCGCCATCCCCAAGGACAAAGCCATCCTGGACATCGAGCGGCCCGACCTGATGATCTACGAGCCCCACTTCACCTACTCGCTGATGGAGCACGTGGAGCTGCCCCGGAGCCGCGAGGTCAGCAGGAATTCCCGGATTTTTGGGGCTTTTTTTGGGAGAATCCCGCCTGGATAGGAGGGCGGCCGAGCTGGGATGGAATTCTAGAATAATCGGATAAAATCGCAGCGTAAATATGCCTGAAATTGGTTCAAGGTCGTAATAATTTGTGGTTCGTGGAGGTTATTGAAATGGTTAAAATTTGGTAAAAAGCGTTAAAGTTGAGTAAAAAAAATGTTAAAAATTCAGTAAAAAATGTTGAAATTCATTCAATCCTTGCCTTCTGCAGCGCTCCCTGTCTCCCAAATCCATGTCTCCTCCTCCGTCTCCAGAGGTGAGTCCCGGAATTGCTGAGGGAGGAGGGGTGGTGGGAATTGGGGAGGGTCTGGGGATCCCAAATTGGGGAGGGGGTGCTGGGAATTGGGGAGGGTCTGGGGATCCCAAATTGGGGAGGGGGTGCTGGGAATTGGGGAGGGTCTGGGGATCCCGAACTGGGGAGGGTCCGGCTGATCCCGAATTGGGGAGGGTCCAGCTGATCCCGAATTGAGGACGGGGTGCTGGGAATTGGGGAGGGTCTGGGGGATTCCAAATTGGGGAGGGGGTGCTGGGAATTGGGGAGGGTCTGGGGATCCCAAATTGGGGAGGGGGTGCTGGGAATTGGGGAGGG